CCTCACCATCATTTTCATGAATCGGAGAGAAACCTTATGACCCTTAGATTTTATGGTGTATGTGTTCTTATCCATGTGAGTCGTCAAAACCATAGTCACAAGACAAGGATAATGACAAATCCAAACACATATGGACTGAACTCAATCTTAATTTCTTACCACCTGGCAGCTCAAGGGCCTACCATTGCTTCCAAGTTGTTATGCAACCAACTGAGAAATCTAAGAAATCATAGGCAAAGCCAACTTTAACTGGAATGGGCACAGAAATAGAAATATGTCAACACGATAGGTTATAAACCTCACGTCGTGTGCTAGTGTTAAACTACAGGTTTTTATTCTTGATTAGACCTTGAAGCTTTCAGAATCTCTAAGACTCCCATTGTCCTCTTGACATATAAGACTATCTTGCCAAATATTCAAGAGATAGTGCAGCTTCTTTATCAAGACAAACACTTCACACACTTGGCCTAAGTTGGTCTTTGTTTAACCCAAAACATCACAACTTACCAATTTCAAATGTGCAAGAGTAGGACACTTTTACTCTTACATTTGACAAGTGTTTTAAACCTTTCTTTAAGATATGTCACTCAACTTATAGTCTTGGAGTATCACACTAAGACTTGTTTTGAAACGAAGTATGACTCATCTTCTTGATTTAACCATTTCAAGAATTCATGACTCCTCTTCTTAGTCATAATAATGCACTAAGATGTCCTTAGAAGACCAATTGTGATGTGGTTCTTTAATCATTAAGATGATCACAAAACATGACACTAAAGTACTCTCCCATCTTTTCAGATTTGAGAAACTTTTATCTTTCTGCCTAATTTGATTCTTCTCATTCGTTCTGCCATACATTGAAACTTTTTCCAATGTTTCAGAATTATAGTTAAACTTGTAAGTATAACCATATTTACTACACTTTAGTAAATCATGACGAATAGTCTTAACGAGCTTTGTGGTGGACATGACCAGTGCACAAGAATGTGTAATCGATCTCTTTAGTTCTTCCCTTGTTCACATAAGGAATTAGTCTTAATTTTCCAAAGCTGAAAGTTCTCATTCATCATACTATACAACTTGCATGATTCCAGGTTTCGGTCCAATTGAAACTTGGGTGATGAGAATCTTCCTTATTTGGCAAATTTAGACACTACCACAAATGAAAGAATCAAATCCATTTTCCAATATTTCTAGAAACATACAAACATCAAGTTTTCATAAATGCCATTGCAAGGAGATATAAAATAAATTAAAACAAAATTTTATTTATTTATAAAATGCGGAAAAAACTTTTCCTTACAATGCAACTTTAAATGAAAACTATGTTATTACATGTTTCCAAGCAATCTATCATAACTTCTAAGAGTAGCTCAAGAATCCGATCTTCAATCAAGCGATAGAAATTCATCTTCGTGGTCAGATTCAACATACTCTTTCTTTAAGTTTCCTTCACTTTTCCTTTGATTCTTAAAATATCAACATGTGACGCAGTCACATCATGTAATAAGAATCTCAGAATAGAAACTTAATCGAGTTAGATAGTGGACTTTACCTGAAGTAGAGTCAAACTTATTGACTTGATCAACGTTATGATCTTTCAGGTAAATAGGCAGTTTCGCAATCAATGCCCCTTCCTTTGGCAAGAGAAACATATGGACTCTTTGGGAATGGTGTACTGGACTATCCCAGACTTGCCTTTCTCTTTAACATTTGGTCAACCGAGTTGACAATGGCCAATCCCTTTCCATTAGGAAGCGAAAGCTTTTCTGGATATCCAATGTTACCATTTTCAAAGTCCATGGAAGTTTGGGAAGTTGATCTTCTAATCAAATTTGCTTTACTAGTCCTCCAAATCATTGCTGATTCAGTAGCAGCAAGCAAATAGATATGATCATTAAGGTTCATGTCATAGTCTGTTTCATAGTAGTCCCAAAGGAACTCACTATGTGACTTAGAAAGTGATTGAACATCCAACTTTCTCAAGACTTTGACACCCAACTCTCCCGGCTTGTCAATATGTGACTTCATCTCCAAGATGTGATCACACATAGAGCTTGCTTGCCATTAGGGCTTGAGTGACCTTGAACTTGTTGGTTAGGGAGAATAATTGGAGGAGGTGGAGGAAGTAAAGTTCCAAGATATTTGGGAAGATCATAGATGTCTGAGCTAGACATCTTTTAGGAGATATTCAAGATAATTGATTTAAAGTCCTTAATATAACACCCAATATGAAATATTAAGGTTAGGACCCAACACAATATTTTATAACTTGGAAGAGGGATGTCGTAATCCAGGCTATAAAATATTTGAAGGTAGGTGAATGACGATTCACCAATTTCCCTCATGAAAAACGAAATAATTTATTAGGTTTTTAATTGGATTTGAAACTCCTAGATCTTTTGAGATTCATTGAACTTTTCAATGGCATGTTTCAATCTCGAGTGTGCCCTTCAGTTTTTGTGACTGGGATGCCGAGGATCACAAAAGAAGGTGTGAAGTAACCATGCAAATTACTTGGTACCCTTAATATTTACCCCTTAATCGATGTGCCGGTTAACCACACGCGCTCCACCGATACTGTGATAAATATTAAGTTACCCTTCGCCTACCTTGTTAAATCAAGCTAGTGTGCCGGTTAACCACACACGCTCCACTAACCGACTTAAGCAAAGTGCAAAGTGTAATTTCATGCATTAGCACCTTAGTCACATGTTCCTAAGTAACTAAGATTGGGAATTTATAAGTATTTAGTTACTTAGTATTTATCATTAATACTTTTAATGAAGGGAGAATTATAGTCCTTGTCCTACCCGTTCGGCTAACGACCCTCCACCAGTCAGGGAAGCGGTGGGTGAGAGTGGACACCCATTAAGCTGCCATTTTATAGGCAACAACCTTATACCCCCCTTATAGACCGGCTTCGTGAATGAGGCCTACTAGTGGTAAGACTAACTTGCTCTTATACATATATTATATATATATATATATATATATATATATATATATATATATTATTAACTTATAATATTATAAAGTATAAGGGTTGAATTTTAACTTTTAAAACTCTAAGGGCTTAACTTGGAATTAAAGTATTCTTGAGAGAAACTTTACATATTCCAAAACTTGAGGGCAAGTTTTTTGAAAATATTCAAAACTAATTAATTCCATAACTAATGTGTTTAAAGTAGTTTTAATTAAAAAAACTCTTCAAGTTCCATAACTTGAGGACAAGTTATGGAAGACTTTAAACTAATAAAAGAATGTAACTTTTCTTTATTTTTGTAACTTATGGAACTAATTAAGACAAGACTCTTCATTTTGTAACCTTTGCCAACTTTTATGAGTTTTAAGAAACTTTAATGTGACTTTTCATGTAACTTGAGGACAAGTTACACAAACACATTTTAGAATCAACTCTTAGATTAATTTGGATTGAAAATAACAATTTCACATAACTTTTCTATTAATCTAAGCAGCTCATAAGAACTAGATAATTTAAATCAAACTTTTTCATGAAATTAGCGTAACCATTAAACTAATACAAAAACATGAATCTATTGACAATTATCTTTGAAATTGGATTAGTATGAACATTACCACATCAAAAATAATTTTATAAGTTGAAAAACAGCTTCTGGTAATGTTCCTAGTCCAATTCCAACCAAGAAACCCGAAAAATGTTGTCTGGAGGCCAACTTCGTCGAGTTCTTCATGGAACTCGTCGAGTTCATGCTGTAATACATGAACTCGTCGAGTTTTTTTCCAGAACTCGTCGAGTTTTAGGCCCTGACAGATTCTTGGCTTCGAAAAATCTATTTGCATCAAGTATAAGAGAAAGCAAGCCTAGGCTCTGATACCACTGTTGGGTTTTGAGCATTCTAACACTCCTAAGTGTACATGCAACCCTAAATACCTTGGATCTATGTTTTCTCTATTATACATGCAAATATGAACTTTCCAAGGTATTCATCCTAACTAGCATAATAACATTGATTCATATGAATATATCAAGTTAGAATTACTTACCTCTTTGATGTAGAATGACTTCATGAAGCTTGAGTGCCTAGTGCCCCAAGTGTGACACCTCAAATGGTTCACACAACACCATATGCTTTTGGAATAACTTAGAAAGAAATACACACTTCATGAAAATCGGCTAGCCCTTATTATCACACATAGTGGCCGATTTTCTCCAAGAATAAGATCATTATATAGTTAGGGTTACACCATGTAAACCCTAATTGTCATGGCCTTTCATTTCCATGATCCATGGGTACAAATACACCATGGAGCATCCATGGAGCATCTTATGGGGTTTAGCCCAACTTGACAATCCATGGAGCTTTAGCCCACTATATAAGTATGGATGATTTACACAATCAACCCATATATTTAATTAGTCTTCTTTTGATCACTTAATTAATACTAGATTAATTCTTGATCAATACTAATTAAATAATCTTATTAATATATTAGAACATATAATATATTAACCAACCTTAAGTGTTATTTCTCTCATTATAGTCTATCCAAATGTATGATGCCATGCAACCCAAATGGACCATGCCAGGTCGGGTCAAGTCTTACCAATTATAGTTATGGACTTAGACATTAATCCAACAGACTCCCACTTGGATAAGTCTAAAACTATTATTGCGTATGACTTCAAGAACCGACTGGCAATCGTAGCCGATGACAGGACTGTCAGGGTCGCAAGAGTTCATAGAGGATGTACACTACGGTTATTTGATGAGCAGTTCTCAGTGGATTTGGTTCCTATTCCCCTGCGAGGGAATAAGGTTTTCGTGGGTATGGATTGGTTGAGCCCCAACGGGGTAGTGATTCATTGTGACCTGCAGATAGTGAGGGTTCGCACTCCTAGTGGGGGAGAATTAGTGATTCAGGGGGACAGGCCACAACACAGACCGATTATTTGTTCAACGGCGAGAGTGAGGCGCTACTTTCAGCAAGGTTGCGCATGATATGTCGCCTATGTCATGGATACTCGCGATAAGGGTAAGGCGACAGTCGATGATGTACCAGTAGTGCGAGAGTACCCAGACGTATTCCCGGATGATTTGCCTGGGATACCTCCGGAGAGACAAGTTGAGTTCCGGGTTGACCTGGTCCCTGGTGCGGCTCCGATAGCTAAGGCACCATATCAGTTGGCTCCTCCCGAGATGCAGGAGTTGTCTACGCAGCTGCAAGAGCTGCTAGACAAGGGTTTTATCAGGCCGAGTAGTTCGCCATGAGGAGCCCCGATCCTGTTTGTAAAGAAGAAGAACGGGTCGCACCGTATGTGCATAGATTACCGGGAGCTGAACAAGGTAATGGTGAAGAACCGTTACCCACTCCCGAGGATAGATGATTTGTTCGACCAACTTCAAGGAGAATCTTGGTTCTCCAAGATTGATCTACGGTCCGGATATCACCATATGCGTTTCAAAGATGACGACGTGCAGAAGACCACTTTTAGGACCCGCTATGGTCATTATGAGTTTGTGGTGATGCCATTTGGGCTCACCAATGCTCCAGCTGCGTTCATGGACCACATGAACCTGTTGGATTAGTGTCTAAGTCAATAACTATAACTGGTGTGTACTTGAGAAAAGGATATTTATGATTTGTTAATGTATTATAAGTTCTAATATATTAATATGAAATCATATTATTTAATTAGTATTGATCAATAATTAATTTGGAATTAATTTTGTGATCAAAAGGAGACTAATTAAATATATGGGGATTGATTGTGTAAATCATTCATTCTTATATATGTGGGCTTATGATCCATAGTTCTTCATGATGGGCTAAACCCATGGAGTAACCCATGGATACTGCATGGAGGTTTTAACCCATGGAGCATGAAGAATATGGAAATACATGAGTTACATGGTTGTAACCCTAATAGCCACAATATATAAGGACCCCATGGCTCAAGAAATTGGCACTAGTGTGTGTACACATGAGGGCTAGCCGATTTGAGAATAAGAACCTTTTCTCCCAAGTTATTCCAAGATGTTGGTGATGTTGTGTGAACCATTTGAGGTGTCACACTTGAGGCACAACGCTCTTAAGCTCCATGAAATCAAGCTACATCAAAAGGTATGTTATCTAACTAGGCTTTGTACTATAGTTGCTTCATATTATGCTAGTTAGGATGAAACCTTGGAATATTGAATATTTGCATGTATAATAGAGAAAACATAGATCCAAGGTTTATAGGGTTGCATGTACACCATAGGAGTGTTAGAATGCTCAAAACCCATCAGTGGTATCAGATCCTAGGCATGTTTTATTTTATACTTGATGAAAATTGCTGAAAATCGAAGTGTGTATGCTGTCTGGTCAGCTGACTAACCGAGTGTATTGAGGGACTCGACGAGTCCATGCCTAAATTCATCCAACTCGCCAATTTGGTTCATGTACTCGACGAGTTGGACCCCCTGACAGCATATCTTCGAGTTTTAAGGCTGGAATTGGTCTAGAATCATTACCTTAAACTGTTTTGGACTTATAAAACCTATTTTTGATGTGGTAATGATTATGGTAAACCAATTTCAAAGTTGTTATCGAAATTTCAAGCTTTATGTGTGTTTATGTAATTCTTGAAATTGTTGATATGATTGTTCATACACTTATGAGTTTTGGTAGATCATAGGAATTATTTGCAAAAATTGTGTAACATCCGGATTTTCAGGTACATTATTGTGTATGTTAATCTTGAGATTTAAGGAGGGACTCGACGAGTTGAGGGACCAACTCGCCGAGTCGAGTCGAGTTGCTCGCGTGGATTTAATGAATGGACTCGACGAGTCACAGGAGGGACTCGCCGAGTAGGTGCTGGGCAGAGAAACCCTAATTTCTCGGGTTTGGGACCTATTTAAAGGCATTTATAGCCTCATTTGCGGCTAGCTTCCCCTGAGAGCAAACCCTAATTGCTATTGGAGCTAGAGAGTGAGAGAGAAGCTCATATTATGGTTCTTGGTGCATTTCTATGAAGAAGGATGAAGAGCTTCATGATGGGGAACAAAGGAAGGCAGTGGATCTGTGGTATTGAGTGTTTCAGCTGCTAAGAGAAGGTACAAAGTCCTCATCTTGTTCATTCCTTGTACTAGATCTCATTTTGGGAGTTTTAGGGCTTTTCTTCCATCCTTTTGAATCTATGAGTCGGATGAGACCTGGTTGTGGTTGGAAACCTCAGATCTGGACCTCCTAAGGTCCTTAGAGTCTAGATGTCTCAGCTTTAGTCGTCCAAATGAGGGTTGATGAGCAAAAACCTTCATGAAGAGCATGTATTGGCGTTTTGAAGCAATAACATCATGTATGAACGTAAAGATCGAAGCTTTACGTAATTATTGAGCCTTGGGATGATAGATCTATAGTTTAGAATGATAGATCTGGTTGAAATCGTCTGAATGAGAAATCAGATCAAATGGACTCGCCGAGTCCATGAACTGACTCGCCGAGTCGGCGAGGGTTTGTCCCGATGGATTGATTGTACGATAACTCGGCGAGTTAGGGGTCAACTCGACGAGTTGAGCTGGACTTTTGAGACTTTTGAGGATACGAGGGGACTCGACGAGTCGCAAGAGTGCACTCGACGAGTCGGGTCAAACTTGGATTGTTGACTCGAGTTTAACTTCTGTTGACTTTGGGGTTTTGGTCAACATATGTGATAGAGACCTTGGAGGGTTAAAATGGTCTTTTACCCACTTTAAAGAGTTAGAAAGAGAAAGAACCGCCTTCGATTCTCTGAGTCGTGAAAAGAGTATTAATAAGAGATATTCATCCTTTGTGTTAGGAGGAGGCTAGTTCGAGATCCGAGCACGAGGTTATTTGCTCACCTGCTAGCCGAGGTGAGTCTTCTCACTATACTTTACCTTGAGTGGTAGCTATGTGCAGACCGGAGGGTCTTATGTGTTATGTGTATGTTTGAGTTTATATGCATTGTGATATATGTATGCTATGTGTTATATAGACCGGACCGGAGGGTCCAACGACTTACGAGGCCAGAGGGTCCTCGAGTAGACCGGACCGGAGGGTCCAACGATTTTGACCGGACCGGAGGGTCCAACGAGCTAGACCGGACTGGAGGGTCCAACGAGCTACGAGACTGGAGGGTCCCGCTGAGACACATTGACCGGAGGGTCGTACCGAGTTATAGCCTCGAGTGGCTATGTGTTGTATGTGGTATGTTGGGTAACTCACTAAGCTTTGTGCTTACCGTGTTATGTGTTATGTGTTTCAGGTTCTCAGGATCGCGGGACGGCACCGGCTTGATTGTACACATCAGAGAAAGAGTTATGTTTGATGATCCTGGATTACTAATGGAGTTGTGTTTTGTAATTTGAATAAACGAGGTTTTATACAAAATGTTATGAAAAGTATGCGTTTTTAAAATGAAAAATTCGTTAGAAAATTTACGGTGTTACAAGTTGGTATCAGAGCCTTGGTTTGAGGTACTCGGATGCACCTTCGGGCGTATCTGAACTCAAACTGAGGATTTGAGGAAATTTTTCATAAAAGAAACAATTTTTATAAAAAGAGTAAAAGATTTTTGAGAAAATCAGAACGGAGTAGTGTGTACGATCAGCCAGCGCCCGAACGGTGATTTCCCAAAATACCCTTACATTATGTGTTATAAGATATTATGTGATATGCTATGCATGCTAGAGATAGGCTATGTATTTCATATTTTAGGACTAGAGTGGCCTGATTTGTGATGCCTTAGCCTAGGAGTTGCTGTTATATGTGATGTGCCTCGAGTATGTGCTTAGTATGAGTATCCAGCAGGAATCCTTTTAGAGAGGGATCTGAGTAGAGGAGTAATCTAGGAGAGATACCTAGATGAGCATTTGAGGAGCCTACTGAGAGAGTAGTTAGATGCCCGCGTGGGGTAAAGTTGCTTGAGTTCGGTGATATCCTTTGAGTATGAGGAGAGCAAGTGGGTAATAACCTAGAGTGGTTTTACATGTTGGTAGAGATTATTCGATGTCGGAATGCTGCTTGCTTCGTGCTTTGTCGAACTCTTGATGATGAGAGTCAGCTACTAAGTGAATATGACGATATTCAGGAGGTAGATGGCTGGCATCATAAGGAGTTCTTCAGCAGCTGATGGCGGAGAAGTGTGGGAACCTAGGAAGAGCCTAGGGAAGGGTAACCCTAGTCAGATGAGTACACTGACAGAGTTGGATATTTCGCAGAGGAGCGAACACGCATGACAGGATTGGTGATCGAGAAAGTTGAGCAGCTACTTAGGAACTCGGGGATGGTCCGTGCAGAAAGTATTGGTAGATGTGGCAGGTAGTATGGGCCCGTACTACTGAAAGCAGAGGACCCATACTCGATACAGGGAACATTCCGGAGGATATAAGTAGCAGATCGAGAGGTGATTTCATGGTTCGAGTATCATGATTTGTAGCAGATCGAGAGGTGATTTCATGGTTAGAGTACCATGATTTGTAGCAGATCGAGAGGTAATTTCATGGTTCGAGTACCATGATTTGTAGCAGATTAGGAGGTGATTTCATGGTTCGAGTACCATGATTTGTAGCAGATCGAGAGGTTATGTCATGGTTCGAGTACCATGATTCGTAGCGGATTGAGAAGAGATAACATGGTTCGGGTACCATGATTCATAGCTAATCGAGAGGTGGCCAGATGGTTCGAGTACCATGACCCTTGGCGGTTAGTGTTATTGGTTCTACCAGTTATTCCGTTATGATTGGTTAGACTGAGATCAGATGTGAAAGAGTATGGGGCTAGAGGGCCATGATGAATGAGTATAGTGGAGCATCCCTTGAGAGGGAAATCGAGTTAGCTTCGAGGGATTTTTGGTAAGATGGCAGATGACGTCGCAAGGCTCAAGGATGAGTAGAGATGGCGGTTATAGAGGATTGCGACATGAGTTGAGCAATCAGCCGATAGTGGAGATGTCAACTTCTGTGACATGGATGGTATTATTTTCGTTTCCTGTGGGAAACATAAGAGGTGTTAAGAATTCGGTTTCCGAGCTTGGGGGTAGAACCCTACGGCTTAGCATTGATGGCGACCTTCCATCAGAGTATTTGGGCAGTATGTCTGCCGAGAGGTAATGTTATAGCATGAGCAGGTTGTCAGCGGGGACTAAGATGGTTAAGGACAAGGATACACCCAATTTGAGCATAGTAGGGCATGTATTAGCTGCAGCGGCAGACGATCAAGAGGAGGATATTGGGGCGGTGGCTCTTATTGTCTATGATGAGTATCGAGTGTGGTAATGAGGACTCCACTCTTATTACAACCCACGTGATGGAACGTCGGTTGAAGAGTCAAGGATGAGGAATATGTTAGTTCGTTATTTTCAGACTAAGAGTCAGGGTTACGACTGGACACTTGAGATGTCCGGTAGTGGGATGGTACGAGATTCTGAATGACTAGAGGTAGTCATGATGAGAAGTTTATGAGGATTTCATCGGAGATTCGGGATATTTGGAATTGCTTGACCTCCATCGGGGAGATCAGCGAGCATTGCGTATCACCTTGCAATATTATCTTATAATAATTAAATCTAGTATAATATATTCAA